TAAGAGAGAGAGAGAGGATATGAGTGAAGACCTTCAAAAATGCACTATTTATGGTTGGAGCGTGGACGGTGGAGGGACCAAATTAAAGTTGTAGTAGTTTCAGTGTAATTGCAGGAGTAAGTAGCTGTTGGATTCATCTAATTTATTATTGCGTAGTTGCCACGTTATTGATGAGTGGATACCATTCTTTCTTTTCTTCATATCAATTATCCAACCGTTCCGTTCCGTTTCGGTCCCTCACGGAGGTGGCAGTGGGGCATGTTTGATAAGGAAAAAAAAGAATGATATTAATTTGTACAGTTTCAAAACCATTTCGTAGACGTTTAAATGTTTTCTACAATACATTATGGACCGTGCTGTGTGCACAGCTCGACACACAGCACGGTTGACAGCCCCCTCACATCGAAACTGGCCCACACACATTAAAAAAATAAAACCAAGGTGGGGCCCCCTCATTATGAGGGGACCGTGAACCATGATGTACAGCAAGTATTGTACATCTGGTTTAATCCATACATTATTCACGAGCTTATAAACAAATGATAATGAGACCCCCGAAGATGTCATGTCATGTCATATCCATCACCACTTATAAAAGCTTTTGTTTGGAAAAAATTTACGAATGATTTAGTTTAAAAATAAGTAAAAATAAGTGTAGATGAGTGGATAGTACTTCTAAATTTATTAAAATATGTGATTAAAAGTGATATTTGACTATTTACAAATTGTTTATAATCTTCAATATGTCCCTTCACGTGTAAACTACATGGACATGCCCAAATGGAAACAGACAATAATTCTAGTCTTTTAGATCTAGTGTATGAATTTAATAACGTATTAATTACCCCATCTAATAGCATAAATATAAAACTATTAGGGAAAATCATGTGTATTACCGTACTAATAATAAATTTTATCCATGTTTGATTCTAATTTTTTGTCTCCAAATTCATTGTCAACCATATATTTTGTGGGATCCATGATTTTTATCAATTTTTCAACAAATTTTTTTTCCTTAAATCAATGAAAATTTTGATATTTAACAAAACCAAAGAGGGCTTTGGCTTTTAACACGTACGAGGCCAAGGGTGTAAAAATCTACAGCAATCAACCACCACGAATCATTCATGATTTCTTTTTTGTCTTTTGAGGAATTTGATGCCTTTAACTTCGAAAATCATCCAATTAACCGCAGCCAACTAGTCAAATATACTCTCCTATACTATTACTTATAATTTGTGGGGAAAATCATGAGAAGTTTAAGTTTATTTAAACAAGCGCAAGAAAAATAAAGGAAAGTTGGTGATCATTTCTTAAATAAAGGAAAGTTGGTGATCATTTCCTACTTGTTATAGATAATTCCAGTCAAATTTAAGAAAATGCCCTCCAATTTCATGGAAAATTAAAAATGTTGTTATAATGTCTTTATTACGATTAAAAGAATGTGAAACTTAGACTTGTTCCTTTAGCAAGTTGTTACTCCTCTCCTAGAATAAGCTTTCAAACTATTCTCAAATAAATTTATTTAGTCCAGTTGAATTTCATGGGTCAATTAGAGGCAGGCTCCACAACCTTTCATCATCTGGGAAATTGTTGAAAATTGTTTGAATTAGTGGATTAGGTCAACTTTAAGCTCTAATTTTAATGGGACCCTATATTTCGAGTTTAACGGTACTAAGCATATTCACATTCTACTCCATGATTTTAACAGGCCCGTGATCAATTTGTGTGAAGATAAATTCTCTAAAAATCACTCATGAACCAGGAGATACCCAATGCCAAAATGGACACAAGCGTGAGAACCAATTGCATTAGAAGGGAACTGTGTGACTTCCATTATCTAGGCTTATATAAACAGTTGACTGTTTAAAGCATCTTGCTATTGATTGACCAAGTAAATATGATAAATTTTAATAGAAAAACTTCAAAGTCTTTGGCTACTTATTCCGAAGTAGTTTTCTTCATTTATATTTCGAAAAAAATATTAAATGTTGCTTGGAAAAAGTCGACATATATGTAGGGGATTGTTGGAAATGTTTTAAATTAGTGAATTGGGTCAACTTTGAGCTTCAATTTTAGTGGGACCCGTATTTCAATTTTGACTAAAACAACCATATTCACGTTCTACTCGGCGAGGTGATTAATGTGATATTTTTTTTATTGAAAATAATTTAGAATTAAATGAAATATTTGATATCAAAATAACCCACTTGAAACTATAAATTAGTGAAAATTTTGATTTACTAAAAATTGCTAAATATTTATCTCACCTAGGAAAGTTAAAAAGTTTTTCTTCACTTATACTCTGAAAAAATCTTAGATGTTGTTTGAAAAAGTTCAAATTCATGTAGGGAATTGTTGGAAATGGTTTTAATTAGTGAATTGGATCAATTTTTACTCCAATTTTAGTAAGACCCGTACTTCAATTTTACTGGAACCAAGCATATTCACGTTCTACTCAACGAGATGATTAATGTAGTATATTTATTTATTGAAAACCATTTAGAATTGAATGAAATATTTGATGTCAAAGCAATCCACTTGACAGTATAACTAGTTGGGAATTTGATTTAATGGAAATTGCTAAACACTTATTACATATAGGAAAGTTAAGAAACTTTATGGAAGTTTAGCAATAATAATCAAATTCTTGGATACTTAATGGAATTAATTTTAAACAGTAATTTTTTATTTCATACCGTTGGCTTTTCTTAGGTATTTTCTAGTCTGGATCGGCTGTTAATCGACCTAACAGACTTTCATTAACTGACTTAAGGAACGCAGTATTTATTTTGAACAGTGTTATTTGTTCGGGTTAGAGGGATATCTGTACAGTGACGATTGTTTTGAAAAGGTTTGAAAGACGTTTAAATAGTCATGAACGAATCTATAAATAGCCTACCTTGCTACCAAAATAGTTACATCATTTTCATTGCAAATTTTCTCCAGTTAGAATCTCTCTCTTCTGATATTGTTCTTGACGTAAAAGCACTTCATTGAGTTCGTTGGAATCCTGTTGTTTGCTATGCTGCTTCCATAGAAGACATAATTCATTTTATCCTAGAAAATTATTGATATACGCCTTTAGAACATTTAAAGGCAGGAAATTCATTTTTAAGAAAATATCGTGAATTTGGTGGGCTCGAATTAACATTCTAATCATGTTATGCTGTTTAAATTACAATATAGTAATTTTGTCAGTGTATTATTTTTAGATTGTTCGAAGAAGGTACTTATATTCCAAAAAAACAACAATTATAAATCTTCAATCTTAAAAAATGAGGATTCTAGGGCCTAACATACTTAATTATGTGGATTTGAATAACCACATGACTGTAATCATCATTGTAGACATTAAAATCACATTCGACTTTAAATGATGCACAACTAGATCATAAAAGTAGTTAAACCACTTAAAATTTATCTCCAATTCAACTGAAAGTCGCGCACAATTTAACATCCAAATTGATAATTTTCGTCACATAAGGACCTAAATTCCATATTTG